ACATGCTTTTTGGCTGTTAGACAAAGGATTTTTGATAACACAACACTACTGTGTATAAATAAGATCTGTTTGTCATATAATATACCATGCCTGAGAAACAAAGGGTGCTAGAAAGGATCTTGGAGATCAGCTGAGAAAACTGAGGTCCAGAGAAATTTCTCTATTGTTATGGTGCTACATAATTGTAGAACTGGGACTACAACACAGATATCTTGAAGCCCAAGTCTAATGTTTGTCCTGTTTTGAGACCCTGCCTCTTATGTCCTTAAGAACTCTGAAGTGTTAAAGCAAAATAAATTTCTAATAAGCCCTTTCAAGATTTGGACTATGTTAGAAACTGAGACTTCAAGTTGCTAGAATCCTAAAATATATTAGTTTAAATAAAATTAGGTGAATTCCTTTAGCTAGAAGGTTTTTGCATAGCATCTTCCAAAAGCAATGAATTTATGGTCAATGTGTGAACTATTTACTTGCTATTTTATTAACTTCAGTGACTTGGATTATAAAATGATCTAGAAACTATCGAAAATAATTAACTTGAAGGTGCTTCATTTTCTGATACAGCAACAATTTTCAAGCAAATTGCATTTTTAACTGAGGTATCGCTTATTGACTGGCAAGAATTAGTACTGTCATTAATGCTTGATAGATATTTATGGCTTTCCCAAGAAGACAAACACAGTTATTAGTGCAATGCTCTGAAAGCAAAGCAAATAATAAATGATTAACAAAATAAATTACTATGGAATGTACCAATAATTCCTACTATGGTAAAATAGACAAGGAAAACCAGAGTTTGGTTTTCTTCTAACAAGAGATNCATACATTTCAGAGAATAAAATTTTAATTATGCAGATTCACTCCAATAAGCTTGTATAGACAATGACAAAACAATATCACTTATTTTCAAGGTTATCATTGCATTAATCACAAATTGCAACTCATTATTCTTGCTTCTTAACTCACCTGCAATGGACTGAAATGGGCCCATCTTGGCCAAACTGCTCTTTTGTTTTATGGACTTGGCCAATGAAGTCAATAAATCCTTCTCCAGACTTTGGTACTCCCTGTTCTGGCCAGTCAGTGAACTGGAACTGCCTCACTGTTCGGGACTGGCCGTCCTTTAGAGAGAAAGCCACATACCCAGCCACAGAGGACGCCGCCAGGAGGATTCAGCAAGTGCACAGACCACAAGAGCAATCGTAATATTTTTCCCAAAAATAAAAAGGGTGGAAAATGTTAGGAACATTTTTAACTAGAAATTTAGTTATGTTTGTGTCATATCTGCTACTAACACTCTCTACATTCATGTACATTTAAATCACAAATTTATTTACTCCCACAATGCCCAGTTAAAAACTTAGGTTCTCAGATAGTAAATAGCCATATAGTTCCACTATCAGCAGATGCTCCTGAGACCCCAAGTTTTGGTTCAAAATCATTGACCATGTCCACATTCTTTCCAAAGTGAAACATATATTCTCACTTTCAAAAATTTCAGAATCCAATAACTTCTCTATATTGAAAGGAGTATCCAGGCATGTCATCCAGGCCAGAGATTTTGCTGTTGCCA